AAGTCAAATGCAAAACTCCCATTGACCGCAATGGTACAGTAACAATTCCTAATGCCAATGATTGTCTTTGTATTTCCTGTTGGAAATAGATAGGCCCTAGCTGTGCGATTTCCCCCTCCAATATCCTTACCCCCCAAAAATACCCCTGCTAATGACAGTCCCAGCAATAGGACAGTAGCTTAACAAAGCAAGAAAAGGCCACAATAAGAGGTCTTCAGACGGTTGGCGTCATATGTTCCTCATTTAGGAATATCTCAAAAACATTACTTCTCACAGTATTTACAAATGAAAAACACATGGCTGTAACCTATAATACTGCAAGAAATAGTGCTCTTCTGGTTTGTTTTTGGCCTCAGACTTTTGAAATATGAACCAAGTGAGGGGATTTCAGCTTAATGCTTGATTCAGTCCATTATTCTTAAACCCCCAAAGTTTTGAAGGAAGAGTGAAGCTTGCATTTGCAAAGGTAGTGTGCCCACAAATACAGTAATGCACTGTATTTGGCAACCAAAGCACAATGTATTTTAGAGGGGAGTTAGTTACCTAAAGGCTTTTGCCTTCCACTCAATTAAAAAAACCAAACATATTAAGCTGGCTTTGGGTGCCCATAAAAAGTTTTATAAGTCACAGATAAAGCCTCTTGCATTTACCATTTGGGTTGAATCAATATGGTTATCTACCTGTCAATTTTTCTTGCTCTTTAATGCAGAAAGTGAGCAGCTTTTTTATAGCTAGCTTAGAAAGTACTAAGTTAATCAATACATCCAGCAATAACAGGATGGTTTGAAACACATATAACAAAAGCCTATCACTTTGCTGTATAGTGAACCCGTCAAAATATTATCCTAAAAGTCATGCGAAAACAGAAGTTCTCCATCTTCCATGACTAAATGGGTGCTGACAGTGGGGTTGTCAGTCTTTCGGATGTGTTCATAGCATTGCGTTTTTGGGAGAAATTCAGTATATGTTTCTTATTTTGCAGGAATATGTAGTCAGCTATGCAGAGATTCTTGGGAACACTGTCTGAAGAGTTAAAACTTTTCTTAATTACCCCAGATTTACTTGGCCTCAAAACAGTCATTGGAAACTCTTGCATAGTTTGTACAGTGCATATGATTTTTCACAAGCTTATCTGGAAACTGCTCCGATGTTCCCACAGACCCGAAAACCTCTTGATTTAGTCAATGTGCTCAATAATTTGTGTCCAAGCCCAAACTGAAATGTACAGGCTTACTTTCAGCTACCTCATGCTGAGTTAGTCAATTTGAAATCATTTGTAAGCATCTGACTCCTAAAGATTTAAATATACATCGGTATATCAAGATTCTGGATTTTAACACAGCAGCGAGAGGATCAGCTGTTATAGTGATTTCTAACCCCTACATTTTCAAAGAAATGCATAGGATTTAGCCACATAATTCCCATTGAGAGTTAAGTTGCAATCACACACCATCATACCACTTAAATAGGTGGAATTCTGCATACAATACAAAAGCTCTCTCTGAGTCTAGGCTTGCTAGTATTTACCAAGTGTAATGTGCAAGCTCAAAATTAATATATACATATAAATATGGAAGAAAGAGACCAATACAGAGAATGAGAAAAAGAAGATGTGTCTGAAACGTATTTTAACTTCAGTGCCCATGTTGCCAACTCGATGTCACGGGTCTCACAATATTTGGTGTTTTTCATAAAGTCCTAGCACCTGGAGTCATGTGACAAAATTTGACTCTAATCTTTCATTAAAAATAATAAATTTTTAGCCCTTGTGGTTGCAGAGTAAAGCTTGAAAACATGATTCCTACAGGCTTTGAAGGTAAATAAAAAGAGCCCAAAATTTATCTATTTTTGAAATCGTGATTTTTTTTTTAAGCCAACCTAATGAGTTTTTGGAGCCTGACTCGTGATTTCTGAATGCTTGTCATAGGCAAGACTGAGCGCTATTAGTTGTGTTAGGATTTGAATTCATCATATTGATGTTCTAAGAATTTTGACCTTGACAATGAGAAAATAGTAATTACGTACAGTGAAGTGATGTTAGATGTTTTATCTATGTTCACACCCAAGAGGAAAAGCAAAGGACTGAAGGATCCAGCAATCACCAAAAAAATCCCCAAAGGATATCGCAGACACACAGTGTGCCTGATTCTTCCCTTAGCAATGAATGAACAAATGTCTGTTAAATGTAACCGAGTTGAGGGCAACATGGGCCCAGTCAAGTGACATCGAGCATGCTATAAAATTGACCACTTCCTCAAGCATAGCAAAGTGCCTCCAGGGCACTAAACATTCTATATAAAGCCATGATAAATAGGACCATATTTTCACAGTGGCCTCAACCCATCCTTTAAATCTCTGTGCCTGGCCAGTCATTTTTGTGTATCAAAGTTTTAGCAGAACCAAATCCTCTGATTTGCATGCACAGATTTGCATAGCCTGCTCTTGCAGAGGTCTATATGCGTGATTTGCTCACACAAAATTAATTTGTTCATATAACTCCAGGTTTTGAGGTGTGCAAAAACTTGAGAACCCAAAAACTTGGCTGTGCCTTCTTGGTGGGTGGATTTACAGGCTGGGGGGCATTTGAAAAATTGGCTCTGAGTATCCAAGGGAACCTACAGAGCCAACCATAAGAAGCACCCAAAAAGGCAACTTTCCTACCAATGGTTTGAAGGGGGTCACCACCACCTGCAGTGTTATTAGCATGGAACCTCGTGGGGCAGAAATGAAATTGTTTCAAGCAGATCACAGCTGCTGGTGGCAGCTAGGGAAGGTTCATAAATTGACATGCACCTCCAAATAATCATAAGCCTCCACATCAATTGTATAGAGATTACAACAGAGTCCCCCTCTGCAGTCATTCCAAAAATGTTATGGGTTTCACAGTTGTGCCCTGTCAGTTCTGATTAAGCTTAAACTAAACCAGTTATCTATAACCTTGGATTAGAAAGAGTTTTATTGCCAAATGTAAGGTAAATTACATTCAGAATGCACATCAGTGGAAAAACATACGGGGGCAAAGCCTGCAGTCCTTACACAGGGAAAATGACCTTAAATCAAGTGGAATTTTGCCTGTGTGAGGACCATTGGCTTTGGCCCATGCCGCACATTCTAAATAGCAGCAGGAAGTCATTCCTGACCGCCGCATAGCTTCACGTTTTCTCTCCCTCTGCAATTCATTGTTCGCTTTTATAACACACGGACTGTTTTAAGATTATTATCTGTAGTCACTGCTGAAGTGACTTGAGTTTACTATTTACCCCATAATAAATGAAGCTAATTATACACACAAACTGTTCGCTACACAGGCTATAAACCAAAGCAGCTATAGCCACAAATTCACCACATAACTTTTTCATCTGGGTGACTACCAGCCTTTCCATTAATAAAAACAAATGGTTCACATCAGTTGTATTTAAAGCTATACCAAGAGATTCTGGAGGAAACCCTGCCTTCATTGAGATCAATGGCAAAACTCCCACTGACATGAACAGGGCCGGATTTCACCCTCCGGTGCTGAACGTAGAGGAAAAGCTGATACAGGGTGTAAGCCTCATGTGCCATTACAGAGAGATACTCCATATTAACGCTGCACTTCAAAGTGTGCTTATGGACTCATTGTTATTTTAATAGAGAGCAAAAGTGAATAAATGTATTTGCCTTTGCACCACCATTATTTCTTTTATATGCAATTATTTACTTGCCAAACACCACTAGCGACAAATTGCAATAGAGGATGAAGCTATCTAGATCAGCAGATTTCTAACCGAAGGTAAAAATAAACAGAAACATCTGTAAAGGAATCTTGTACAAAGCTACATTTATTAACAAATACATTTTCTAATAAAATGCCATCTGCAAGCAACCCTCAGCTTCCACTTGATATAAATAGGCCTTTTTACTGTTTTCAGATGCAGTTCCCAGAAAAATTATTCCAAACTCTACTGCAAAACACATCAGTCTTTGTTGCTGCCTGGAATGTTAATAAATAACATCAAGTTTTTAAACAGTCAAACAAATTATTGGCTCAAAACAATTATTCCAAAAGGAAAAGCTGACCTTTTCCAATAAAGCGTCTTAAGAATGAATCATTCCTTATTTCTGGTATAAAAATATTAACAAGCAGGGAAGTAATCTTGGGGAAAAACAGAAAGCTATGAAAATCCCATGTTGTAACTCTGTTCATGCATGTACTAAAAACCTACCTTGCAATGGTTACTGCTTTAGAGCAACTGTGAATAAGAAATTTATATCAGTACAAATGCTTCAGTTGCTACCCTTGCAATACAGCTGTGCTTGAAGTGTCCAGGAAAGAAATAAGAGCTAATTATAACTTTAATCACAGGACTGTTGTAACAGACCAGCAACACAAAACTCAACAATTTAAGTTCTTGGTGCCAGGAATTGGCATTGAATCCCAATGCTAAGTGCTATTGAAAAATGCATGAAGACTTACCGGGATACATTTTCAAAAGTGTTTCTCACAGTTTAAGCCACATTAATTCCATTAAAGTCAATGGGAAATGAGCAACAAAAAGGTACCCCTTATCGTTAGCTGTTCTGTACCACTGGTATTAAAAGGATCAAGGCTTTTCCAAGTTTATTTTAGATTTTTTTTCTCCTTTGTCACAGTGCAGAACAGTACTCTTTAAATCAGATTAATTCCAAAATAAATCTGCAAAACTGTGAACAATGCAGCTGAATTAAGGTATATTAGAGTGCTGTGGCCAGCCAAGGATCTGTTAGTGTGACACAACCAAAGTTAGCATTCCATCCTTTGATTTTAAAACTTGATGTATCACGACTTACTAGGTTGTCACAACAATCCTTGCCAAAAGAAAATATAACCATGCATTTTCTAGAAAAGGGGTGTGTTTTCAGATCACAATTTCAGGAACTGGAACTTTATATTTAAATAAACAGACATACTCTATGTTAAATACTCCTCAGGTCAGATCTGTTAAGATTCTAGAAAAAATTGGACTAAGAAAATGACTTACCTCACTAGCTTGAGGGATGGTAAGCTTTGGTAATTTATTCTTAGAACTGGGTGCATTAGCTTTTCCTTCCAACAGTGTTCCAAATGATTGATTTCCATATCCACTCTCAATTTCTATTGGAGGTTTCAGTTCAGGTGAGTCATTAGGTACTTGGTCCTGACCATCCATAGGCCTTACGTAAGCTGTAGGCTTTTGCTGGACCATGCTAGTTTTACAGTGCAGTCCTGGTGGGAAACTCTGGGTTGAGAGACCATTGTTTGCAGATAACAAAGATGTAGAAGGAAGTGGAGATCCAGGACCGTGCCCTACAAATTCAAGTTCTACAGGTGACTTTGAATGACTGTTTTCTTTATAAGAATGTTCTCCAGTTGTTGATTTGGAATGATTGTGCCTCCGTGAATGTGAAGATGATGCAGCCGGGTTTGCTTCCTCAGCGCCTCCATTTTTATGTTGCTCACTCTGACAGCTGTAGAGATCGTCATACCTGCCTTGAGGCTGGTCATGTGAAGAGCTATGCTTTGTCCTACTCTGTTGACTACTGGATTGGCTTGGCTGTGCACCATTAGAGTTGTGACCACCACGTGACCAATCTGTCCTGGATTTCCTGCTGCTCTGGTGACTGTGTAGCAAAGTAGAATTTGATGACAGTGAAGAAGGTGGGGGCATTGATGTTGACGAGTGACCGCTGATCTGGTGAGACGGGATCATCCTGTTTCTCTGTTCTGGAAAAAAGTTCTGTTCATTTTTGTCAACGGGAGTCTGTGGTACAGAATTCTTTGGGATTCCTACAAGGTGGCTCTGGTTAGAATGGTTGGTTAACAAGTCCTTCATTTCATCATAGTTTCCCAATGTGTTTTGGACACGGTTAGCAAGGGCATCGCCTTTATTTGTCTAAAATACCAAAAAGACACAGGGAAAAGAGTGAGTAAATTCCTGGTTGTGAAGTTACTGCTTGGAATGGTTGTCTTAGGAAACAATGGCAAATGTTAGCTACTTAATAGTGTCATGCTGACATTTAATTTAATTTCAATTACATTTTGCATATGTTATGTAAGAAAAACTCATCAATAACTGTGTTCAAAGAACCTCTTGGAGCAGGCTTGCATGAGTAACATTTATATACTGCTTCCTTTTTTCTTAAATCTGTTCTCAGAGAAATATTTAAATTACATCAGTTACGGACGTTATGAGCAAAATAGTCTGGTTTTATGTCAGATAAGTTGGGCTTGTACATTTTATATTCTGCAAAATGTGAATGTACAATTACTGGTTATTGAGTATTTGAATTAAAATCAAACATTTTATTTAAATATGTTATTGCTATAAACCAGGCTAAAATGACAATAAATATAAAGGAGCTAAATTGATCCCATGTGTAACTTCAATGATTCCTTTATACTAGGCTCAGTTTGGCCCAATATACCTAATAGTTGAGATCTAGAAAACATACTGCTTCCAACTAGTGAATTAACTGCTACTAAAAGAGTGTTCCAAAGATGTTGTACTTACGTAGTATGTGATTTCTATATTCTGAAGCACCAGGATGCCTCTATTGGCTTAGAGTGTGGTGTGTTTATGAATCAGTCACTCACACTGCTTTTCTTCAAATCGCAGTCATCATTAAGTAAGTTCTGATTCATCTATGTTTTACTACTATTATTTTTCCTTCTGAAGTGGTTTTTACTCTGCTACATGTAGTATACTGGGTAAACAAGCTCAAGGGTTATAGCTGATATGCAGCTAATTTCATTTTCCTTTTTGTTTTTAAAAAAAGTCAACCAACATGGAACCAACAAACGCAGTCCTATTCTAACCCTTTGTGTTCCACTGAAATGACCAGCACTGCATTAAAACAGCCTATTCCCTATACACTCGTTACTTTATCAGACTCAAGAGGTGAGAAACACTGCTTTCAAAACTATAGTTCCTGTCCAAGAATATGCTGAACTTCTACAATCTGGAAGCAGAGTTTGAAGCTACAATATATGTGAGGTAGGGCTTGATACTTCATATAATCTCTCTCAAAGCATGCTCATACTTCAAGTTAAGTCTCCCTTTCCTCTGAAATGCTGAGCAAAAGAATGAAGATAGAAAATTCATGCATCGATTCCTCTTGGAATATCTGCTTAGATTTCTGATGCTCAGCTAGACTATAGAGGAGAGAAATGTTGCAAAAATATTTTTTTTCTTGGTACTTTTCATGCAGTATAAAACATTGGGGAAAAAAGATAATAAAAGCTGATTTTCTCTAGCTCAACTCACAGGAATTGTAATGTATATCACCACTGCGCTGAGACAGAGATTTAAATGTTAACTGTTCAGTATTGTTCTCATCTGTATGAGTGCTTCTAACCGAGATGGTTAATAGTTACAGTTGTGCAGGACTAGGAATCACTTTTGTTCACTAAAAGTTCCTAGGTTGGTCATTTTAGTGGCAAAAACTATATTCAAGCTAAGCCAAGAATAACCTCTTTGTATATGAGCAGTTTCCTTCCACTGAGTTGCACAATGTGCCATTTGGGCCGCAGCCAAAACCAGACTCTCCGTTCAACCCCCAAAATTAAAACAAGGAGATTCCATTGTGCTTAAGGGCACAGCAGGAATTATGATGCAAGCCTTAAACACTTACATACTTGTGCTGTTTCCTCCTTCCCCACCAAACTTTTTAACTCTTTGAGCCACAGCCCACGTGATGGCTAAGTATCTAGAAAGTCCAGAACCACTCGCTTTCATCAGCGTTTTGGTTACATTTTCAATTTACACTTAACTTACTATCCATAAAGTAAAGGAGAAAAGTAAAAAGAGTACCAGGAACACATTATTGCACTGTAACATTTTAATATCACAGCAGCACATAAAAGAGCTTCTTCTCTAAGCCTTCACAGAGAGACTCAATATTTTAATTTTAATACATGGATTTTCAATCATTTTTACTGTTAGAGGTATCTGACTCTCAGGTTTTTTTTAAAACATGTCACTTAATGCTAAATGTCATTTCACTTAACACTAGCTCTCTGTTTTATGCAAAATGTTCACATCCTTTGGGATGAAAGGCACTTTATAAATGTAAGATATTATTATTTGTAGTCCTTTTCTGGGAGTATTAATGAAAAAAACCCTTTTCTGAAAAGCACAGAGATAATTAATTTAAACCTCCTGAGCCTATTTTAAAACTCTCTCAGACCCTGATCCGATGCTTACTGAAGTCAGTGGAAAGATTATCAGTGGCTTCAATGAGTTTTGGGTCAGGCCCTCAAAACATAAATACCTCTGCCAATAAAGAGATGGGTCCACTGTCGCTTGAAATACAGGAAAACACAAATAGAAAATGCACCCCTAGGGCCAAATTCTCCTCATTGTGTGACCTCATTGAAGTCAAGGAGGGGCATTGTGTGTAATTCAGGGCAGAATCTAGACTTAAGTCTTGACACATATCAGTAATATTTTTATTTTCTTCCTCAACAGATTTAGCATTCTTATTGAAAAGCAGGGTATGCCTGGCCAGTCTTGCTACAAGCACTACAAAAATGAAATTAACTATTTCTGGCCATTACATGTTACCTTCAGGTTGGGGAGATTTTTAACACCCTCTTCTGGATAATCCATTGATTTCTTAAAGGAAACTTCTGTACTCTGTTTTCTGAGCAACCAGTTGAACTGCGGTTTTGCCACCATTAAGGAAACGTATCTTCTGAGTATTCCAAGACATAAGTTATATATCTGGTTTGTGATTCAAGACTAGCAGTACTCCCCCCCCCCTTTCTAGCCTCTCATTAATTTAGGAAATGCACACCTTTCTATATTTGGCTGTATTGCTTTAAAAAAAATCAGAAATAAAATTCTATTGAAAGGCTAATTTGCTCACTAGCTATTGCATTATGGTTCTACAAAGAACACAACTAATGCATTCGGACTTATGGGCCCAATTAATATTGGTTTTGTGACAATTTCTATGAAAGCCTGAGGTTTCATAATTCATTCATTTTCTCATGCCTCCCAGCATAACTAACCTCTATGGACTAGAAGGTGAGATACTTTATGCTATGCTTGAATATAGTGAAGGGGCAATACCTAAAAAAGATTTAACATTCTCCAAAGACTCATGCAAAAGTGAATTCTTTCAATTGGGTCCTATTTCTCCAGTTGAGCTATTACAAGGCAAATTGTCAAAAAAAAAATACAGATCACTCCTCAGACAGTGTGTCTGTAAAATACTAATTATATCCAAACCTATTTATTAATGCAAAACATTAAAGGGTATCACTAGTAAACCTGGAGCCTCTGCCAGGAAAATTCCTACACTGCTGATTCAAGCAACTGCAGACATGAGACCTCAGGCTGTGATCTGGTCGGCTCTGACAAATTAAGCAGTACCAGTGTTTGAAAGGGAGACCTCTAGAAAGCTCACATGATCCATAACTGGCAATAGGCAGTGCTCAGACCTCTTTGTCCATGCTGGCCAAAATTGTGGTAGACAGCACAATATTTTTGAAAGTGCTGTTTTCTGCATTAGACTCTGGCACATAAAAAGAACATCTTTCTAGATACACACTAAAAATTACATCTACACACACACACAGGGACCTATGAAAAGTAGATAAGATAGAAATACATAATAAAGGGGCAGGTGATTAGGCAGACTCTCCATAAGTATACAAGTGATGGTGATATCCATATAATTAATGGCAGAGAGCCACATGTTGCACTTCTGCCCACAAATCTACGTCTCCCCGGATTATTTTGTTTGCAGTGTTGTTTGTCGGCAGGTTGGTCTCAGGACACGAGAGAGCCAAGATGGGTGAAGTAATATCTTTTGTGGACCAACTTCTACTGGTGAAAGAGACAAGTTTTGAGGTTCACAGCGTTCTCCTTCAGGCTACTTCAGCCCAGGCCCGAAGAAAGCTCTATGGAGCTCGAAAGCTTGTTACTTTCACCAACAGAAGTTGGTCCAGTAAAAGATATTACCTCACCCACCTTCTCTCTCTGGACTATTTTTAACATTCCAAGCTCATACAAAGTAGCACTGGTAGCAGCCCCATCCCATAGTTCCCCATTTTGGGTTAAATGCTGCAGTGAATGGGGAAGGGTGGGTGTGCAGAACACATATATTAGAACAGGGAACCAACGAGATGGAGAGAGATGTTTTCTATTTCTCAGATTCTCTTCTCCCCACTTCCACTTCCCTTCATCCCCTTCCCTCTGTGGTCCTTTGGAAATTCATGGGCCAGATCTTTAGTTGATGTAAATCAGCATGGCTCCGTTAACTTTATTGACTTTGCTAATTGAGGATCTGACCCCATGGTTGGTGAAAGGTCACTCCATTTGCACTTGATGGGTACTTTTTCTTTCCCCTTCCTCTGCACACCTAATTATGGGTCTGCTTGCTTCTTGCTGGCAGCTTTATTTATTTTGGACAAGTGGCATTGCCCCCCCTTGTTATGGATACAGGAGAATGGACTATATTCTGAGCTCAGTGACATCAGAGTAAATCTGGAGTAATTTACATCAATGCGACTGAAATCAGAATTTGGTCTGACTGGAAAAGAAACAAATCCATTCCCAAATCCCTCTTGCTTCTCCTACACACACATTAAATGTACACAGCGTTTATCATTGAATACAATTTCAGTATGTCAAAATGTTGGAAAAGAAGTCCAGATACGCTCTCTTTTGATGCTACTGTCATTGGTAGGAACCAGAGCAGACTAAGTGGGTGCACTTTGCACTATTCTTGCTGGATACACAGGGCCTAATTCTCATTTACACCAAGGATCCTTTGCACCTGGCAATGTAAAGAGGCTTTAAAGGGAACATAAGTTACATTTAGACTCACTTTAAGGCCGGTTTACATTGCTCTTTCATAAACATGAATCGGGCCCAGAGTTCACTCTCTGCACTTGCTTTGTAACATAAACCACAACTCAGTCTTTAAGGGCCAAATCCAACCCCCATTTGTTATCAGTTAAATTTCCACTAACATTAATGGAACCTGGATTGGGCCCTTAATAGCACAATCCTGTAAAGGAAATATCAGGCAACCTCTTTGTCCTTAATTCCTCCTGACGTAAAAATCAAGACAAAATGGCTGGAGTTTATTATATATATAGTTAATATTAAAGATATATATATATAGTCTTAATTTTCCTTGCTTCTGTGGATTTAAAGCAGATAAATAATCATACACAAAAATAATAGTTTTAAACAATTTATTTATACACACCAATTTTTACACTAATTTGTGTGCTGTTGTAAGAGAGTATAATTCTAAAGAAGTTGTATTCAAGAGTTCACCTTGTAAAACGGGTGATGATAGATATTTTTGAAAGTAATATATCTATTCTTTAAAGACTATTACAGAAATGCATAGATTTTAAATGCAGGTGTTGTGTACTCAACTGTCCAATTCTGAGCAAGTGGACACAAATTTCAAAAATGTATGGACTATTTTAGAAATTTAAAACACATCTTTCTGAGAGCACAGTCGATATTAAGAATGGTTTTGAAGTGTATAATTTTTAATTCTCATGGATGAAAATTCTGCATTATTTTGTTAGTTAAGTTAATTTTGGGTAAACTCTCCACCCAATTCATTGTTTCAAAATGAACGGGAGGAGGAAGCCAAAAAAAATAAATCTTGACAATGATGACAATATATTTTCAGAACGCCAACTCAAAAACCAGACTCCTTGCTAGAAAAGAAATCAGCATTTATAGGACCTCTCTCTTTGACAAAACGTGTTATTTATCTTAAACACACAGTACATCCTCGATGAAAAAACTGCTCCCACAAATTCTATGAGGTCAATAAGCATTTTCATAAAGCTGCAATCTCTTACTTGCACATTTCCATAAGCCTTTATTAAAAATCTGGAGTTATTTCGCTAAATTTGGAAATTATTTCAAAGATCCATATTGTTTGATTTTTCATTAGGCTTATATCTATTTCATCCCATAAACTCCAGTGCTGTGTCTTATTATCATTCTTTAAAGTGTAGCTTAACTAGGTGGGGGCAGAAGGCCAGGACTAAAAACATTTCTAAGAGGAGTAATCATGACACTCCATCTCCAGATCAACCTGAGCATGGTGTTGGTGGCTGTGACACACAGAAGGTCAGAGTAGATAATCTAGTGAGCCCTTCTGGCCTTAAACTCTCTGACTCTATGAAAACCTTTTTTTTTTTACTTCATTACACCAAGTGCAGTGAATGTGTCAAGTTTCTTCTTCATCTAAGTGATGTAATATATCAGTCATGACTACACGCAAATAATTGAGAGATGGGGAAGGGCTCAATCACATTGCTACATGGTGTAAAATTGTTCCCCCACATACTTGCATGTTCTTGGTAGATTAACATCACAACACTTGGCTTTGCCTCTCGCACACAGAACATTTTATATAGAGAGGCCTAGATTCCACAAATATTTATGCACAAGCATTAACTTTAAGCATATGAATTGAAACAAATTAAGCACATGCATAAGTGTTGGCAGTATCAGGGCCATATTTGTTATCTCTCATGAACATAATCTGTGCATACTGGGGGAGATAATATAGTAGTTAGAAATGATCCACTAGGGTCATTTGGAACATTATAAATACTACGTTTAAAATGAGCCACTATACAGTCAACCCACCTTAGAACTCAGTTGTGATTTGGTTTTTTTTTTTAATTTGGGATACTCATTTCAGACCTTTGCAATCAGTATCCCATTATTGGAAGAGCTACTAGATATCGAATTCATCTGCAATAAACCAAAAGCTATGAAATTCAAAAGAAAAGATTAACTAGCTGCTGGAAACCCATCCAAATCAAAAGGACGTAGAACCACTGTTTGGTATAGTCCCTTTTTATTCCTACAGGATTTCATATTTCAGTAGAAGATATAGTTGAATTCAGTAATTCAAAGTAACCACAATGGATTAGGTTCTGCTACCCTTACTGACATTGAATGGATCCATAGCTCTTGCAAACACTTGCACGCAAGCTTAACTCTGCTCCCATGTGTAGTCTCATTGAAATCAAGGGACCTATTCACATTCTTAGAATTAAGAATATGGATTGGGGCCTTACTTTGCAAGGAGTCTCTCTGAAATTAACGGGATTGTGTGTGTAGTAAATGCGAACTCCACGTGAGAAAGGGGGTGGCCCAACATAAAATATCACACTGTAGTTTGCCAGATTAGATTTTAACCAGTAAACTACTGTCCCCAATTGGTTGAAACAGTCTCCCAACCTATAATTATGAACCACCACTTCATAATGATGCTGGTTTTTCCCCCTTACTGGTGATTTGCAATGAGCACTCATCCTCCCTACAGCTGCTAACAATATAAAATGGAATGCTAACGTGGTGGCCTTTCAATGGATGTCACTGATTGGGAAGAGAAAGTGACATGTACATTTACATTCTGATGAACCCATCAGGGGATGCCTGGCTAAAAATCAAAGCAGCAGAAATAATCAAGGGGGACATCCCCTGGTGATGAAATTCTCAGGCAGCAAAGCTCCTTAGAGAGAATAAGTCTCATCATAAGTCTCTTTGATATCCTTGTTATGCTCCCCAAAGAATTCAAACAGACATTCTCCCCGAACACTTCTTTGGACAATTATTATTGCGAAGGGAGAGCTTCCGGGCTCATAATTAAACGAAGAGATTCTGGTTTGAACAATTCAAGTATATTTTCCTCTTTAAAAATAAAGAGATTAAATGTCAGTTTTGGAGTTAGCAAAACCTAAGTAAAGATTCCTTTGGAGAGCAATATATTGAGGGAGTGTGCGGAGTGTTCAGAGAAGGGAATATGAATCCAGACTTCTTGTTTCAATCCCTGGTTTTGTCACCAAAATGCTGTATAATGTTGGCCATGTTACTTAACCTGACTATGCTTCAATTTACTAATTTCAATGGTCTGACTATCTGTAGAGTCAGACAATCAAGATCAACATAATACTTCTCTTCCTCAGAGGTGAGGCTTAGTTAATATTTGCAAAATGCATTCAGATGAAAGACACTCTAAAAGTGTAAAATATTGTATAGCCATTTACCTTGTAGGGTTCCCCAAAGAGATTAAAACCTGAAGCAAAGAGATCTTCATCTTGCTGGACTTCTTGATTTCTTCGCTCCCATTCTTTCCTTTTAAGTGCACTCCGGTCTTGCTCATAGTGACTGAAAAAGAGGATAAGACAAAAAGACAAACAATTATTTCCCCCATAAGTCAGTTAAACATTCATTGTTACCAATATTAGGAACAAAACACTGGAAACAGTGCAATTCAAGCTGATGACTTTGAAAGAGAGTGAAATCCATCCAACAGTTTTCCCAAATGTAAATTTGGGATCATAGGACCATACTAAATACAGCTATTTAGCCCAGCACCAGATATCACAGAATTTGTTCCAAAGAGAAATCCCAGCATACACACCTAAACACACTTAAAATCTGCCTTCACTACACTAGGGCACTCCAGGAGAAAAATAGACCACATCATGGAACGAGCCATGCAACTACCTTGGAAGAACCTTCTCCAGTACCACCCCACACTAGAACCCCAAAGGGGTATCATCAAAAAATTACAACTCAGACTTGATGGTGGATTGCATCCTGAAATAAATCTTTCCCAACCCCACCCTTTCTTGCCTTCAAACAAGCCCCCAATTTAGCCAAGTTCATCATCAGAAGCAAGCTCCCCACAGTCCAACTCAAAGTGCCACCAGACTCTGCAAGAACAACAGATACAAAACCTGCAGACTGCTACAATGATCTATATCCCTCAGAACGCACCTTTTAAGATCCGTGTCTTCTACACATGCCTACCACATGTGGTGTACCTCATCCAGTGCATCAAATGCTCCAACAATAACTATGTGGGTGAAACCAGACAATCACTACTCTCTGAAATGAACTCTCACAGAAAAAATGATAAAAGATAAAAACACCCTATCACCCATGGGTGAGCGTCTTCAAAGGAAACCTATACAACACCTCTGAAAGATGAGCCTGGAAACAAATTCCTAACTCTGCTGGGCACTGAAAACCATAGACTCAGTAAAAGACACCAGATTTATGGTCATTACAACTATTTGCAACACACCCTACTGTCTGCTTACCCTTAACTGCCCACTTCATTTTAAGTGGTCTTCTACAGCATATGTGAACTTCTTATGCTTAATCTGTCCCATCTTATATCTAGTTTAGACACTCTGGTTACCTTCTCCAGACCAGAAAAAGAGCTCTGCAAAGCTGGAAAGCTTATCTTTTCCACCAACAGAAGTTGGTCCAATAAAAGATATTACCTCACCCACCGTGTCTCTAAATAGAACTAATCATTCTAAAATTAAAAAACACACAAAATCTGCCATTTCCAGATGCTGCTTTCTGCCAGAAAAAAAAATTCAGTATAACTTGTCTCTAAGTGTGCATGTATAAATATGTAGGCATGCTGTGTGCCTACTTGTACGTATACACACACACAGAATATACCTATATGGAGAAGCAACTATGGAGTCAACCAGGCATAGTGACATCTTCAGTTCCCTTTAACTGTGTAACATTTGCCTACATCACAACATTCTACTGCAGCCAAGTGTGATTCAGAACAACTATTTCAATCCCGCATACTCGCTAACATTTAGTTGTGGGCATAGGCAGGCTGGACCACTCATGCATTCCTAGAATACTGGACATTCCAGTACTTCCTGAAATGGTATAGGCCCAGTCTGGTGGGATGACCCTGCCCCTGCATACAAGGTCATGCTGCATGGAGGATGCCATTTTGAAGAGCGTGTCACTCTGCCCCCACTGGCTTGACCTCAGAGGTATGCTGCATGCGATATCACACTGATGGGGCACAGCAGCTTGCTGTTCAAAATGGTGTCCTCGTATGATACCAGACAAAACCATGTCCGATTCTGTCTCAATATCGGACTGGGGCCAAACCACCCAAAAAAGAGGACTGCCCATCTTAAAATGGGGTGAACGGCCAGCTTAGACCTAGGGGGCGATTAAAAAATGCTTCACATAGTGCTGTTCTGAAGGGAAGGACGTTAGGTTAGTCGACTTTCACAGCAGATAATTCTGCACACAAGCAAATAAACAAAGAAGGTCTATTGCCTCAGAGTAGTGATAGCAAGATGTCAGTTATCTTTATGTCAGCTCACTCTGTGCACCTGCCAGACCTAGATGACAAGCTGAGAGATCACATCTACTTCTCTCATGAACAGGACTGAAGTACTTTGGTCTCTTGTCTTTGCAAACTACTTCCTGCTCCTCTGAGGGAAAAGATGTAATTAAAACACTGAAGAGGGGGGAAAAAAAAGAAGAGAAGAGATGCATGTTTCCACTTGCATTGACAACCCCCCATGTGACAAGCATTAAGGGACACTTCTGTGCTTTCAACCCCTATTTGATTTGTTATAAGACTTTTGGCTCTATTTTGTGTCAGTTAATTAGCTACAAATTCCAGATGACAATTTGAATAGCAGATTGAGTATGCACACTGACGTTAGCTGTTGTGAGAAATATTTGCCTGCTAGATTTTATATATACATGCCTACACACGCGCACACTTATGTAACGGAGAATAGTGAATTCTGATATCCTGATGAGAATGAATTTAATCTCCATAGAGCTCTACTGCACTTGGAAGATAACCAAATATCTACAACTTTTGCCTTTTTAGCTCAGCGTGATGTTGTATGGGAAGCTTCACATGGAGAGATATAATGAGGAATGAACTGCACAGTGATGAGGCTTTGACAGTGTATAAAGTCACTGATTTCTGAGTGAAACCACAATTACTAATTTGAAGCACCAGCTAATTAAAACCACAGCTATGTATTTAGCCTCTTGTTATACCTACTGCAGTTTATAATTATGAGGACCTCTTTATCTACTCAATTAAAGTTCTTATGATTCAGGCAGGTTGTGTTTGAACCTGCAAGACCCACAGAGACTGCAGGCAAGCATATGTCTATCTCCTGATGATTCCATGTATCCTTAGACTTGCATACTTGTTTTCATACAGGGAGGAGGGAAAAAAAAGACAGACTAATGCCACAAAGACAATCTTGAAATCAGAAATATGAATTAATAATCGGTTTGAGCAACTCAAGATCATTCATGCTTGGAATGAATAGCCTTGAGTATAGTTTATTAGCAGGATGTAAAGCCACCTAAGTATGTGAGGGTGAGTTAAACTAGATTTTCATTGCTACTTCCCATTTTCAGGTTGGAAACTCAAATGCAACATCATTTTATTTAGTTCGTTTTACAACACATTCTGCCATAATGATATCACTACCTTGGGATCATTTGCTAGTGTAAAGTTATAGGACAGTACTATAGTCAATGCTACTATTGAATTCTTGTAGAAATTATAGCATTATTTACTAATTTATTGAGGAAAAATAAAGGAAATTAAATTACTATACCAAAGCCACTTACTGTATTATTATTGCTAGCTACAAGCTAGATTGTGGCAGACTATACATCCACAGAGACATAACGGGAAGACAGAATCCTCACTGCACCCCTTCACGGGCTATCTGGACCTTGGGTCCACATATGTGGGAGTAAGTGGGTGCTATACACTTGCTGCTGCCCACTCTGGGGTAGGTGGGTAGAAATAGGGTGGAGTCTTGGCTCCACTCTGCTCCACAATCACCTTGGAAAAATGTAGCTGAGTCTGTGTGGGTGTGGGTGAGGGTGGGGAGTATTGTAATTTTCTACTTGTATAGACCATTTAGAAATTTCAACCCCATACTCACCCCCCAAAGCAAGGGGGGAACAGTGCCTTAGAAAAGTGTTTCTGAGGCTAGGTCTACACTAGAGGGGGGGATCGATTTAAGATATGCAAATTCAGCTACGCCAATAGCGTAGCTGAATTCGACGTATCCTATTCGACATACCCCGCTGTGAGGACGGGGGCAAATCGACCGCCGCGGCTCCCCCATTGACGGCGCTTACTCCTCCTGACGAGGTGGGAGTTCGCGCGTCGATTCGGGGATCGATTTATCTGTCTAGATGAGACGTGATAAATCGATCCCCGAGAGATCGATTTCTACCCGCCGATCCGGGCGGGTAGTGTAGACTAGCCCTAAGACACAATGCCTCTTGGAGTAATGCAGTTTACACACCAACCCACACTCAGGGCTGTTCCTAAAGGCACAGTATAGTATTAGAACTACAGCTTGCTTACCTTATTCATGAAAGACATGTCCACTGACTCCAATAGCAAGTTTTGTCTAAGAACTGCAAGATTGGGTCGTAGAATGATAGTATCCCCACGGAAGGGATCTCGAGACATCTTCTAATCCAGTCCCTTACACTCAAGGCAGGACGAGGTATTGTCAGCAGTGTACTATTTCCTTTAGCAAACCTTTATGACACTATGGGCCCATTCTTTGTCCATTAATGTCCTCCGCAAGCACAGATGACCCATGCCTGCCAATCGTGGGGGGCAGAGCGAGGGCATCCGGCTCAGTCCGTGTGAGCATGCTCAGTACAAGCCAAGCAGCAAATCGAGGATGTGACCCCACTTAATCCCCCCCACATGACCCCACTTAATCCCCCCACGCATCGCCTCTGTCCACAATACTTACCACTGAAGTCAGTGGAAGCAGGACGAGACTCCAAGAGTCACCCTTACTTATGTGAGAAATCCCATTGAATTCAAAGTAAAAATTATTTATTTGGGTGACTAGGGGTGGCACTATCAGGATTTTAGAGGCTTACAAATGACAGCAACTCCGGCCATAGTCTGTGGTAGAGCTGTAGGGTAAAATCTTGGCCTCACTGACATCAATGGGAGTTCTGCCATTGACTTCAACTGGGTCAAGATTTCACCCTTAATGTGAAAATACATTACTAATTTAGGCTTAGATATCTGAAAGCTGTGTCCTTCTGCAAGCAAACAAACTGTTCAGAACCCTGAAAGGAATCATTATACTATATTATATCTGAGCAAAAGAATAACTGTGGCATTTTAAGACTAGTTAATACATTTTATGAATCTCAATAAAATGGTTTATTCTACTTGATGGTGGTTATGTTACTAAGGCAAAATGATGAAACAGCATTAATTTAATGTGGCACAATTTCTTTAAAATTAATTAACTTTAATTAATATAGTATTTACTATATTAACTATGTTTACAAAGGTAAATAAT